GGTCTTGTTTTTTTATCCAGTCAGCCACCCTATGCCTTTTAATTGGAGCATTTAGTCCATTGACATTTAAAGTAGCTATTGTGGATCAAAGATCTAAATATAGGAGCTCAAACTATAAAACTCTTTGAAGAAAACACAGGGCTAAGTCTTCATGACCTTGATTTGGCAATTGTTTCTTAGATATAACACCAAAAGCACAATGCAACAACGAAAAAATAAACTGGATTTCACCAAAATTACAATTTTTGTGCATCAAAGGATACTCTCAAGAGAGTGAAAAGACAACCCACAGAATGGGAGAAAATATTTGCAAATCATATATCTGATCAGGACCTAGTATCCAGAATACATAAAGAACTCTTACAACTCAACAACAAAAAGACAAACAACCCGGGGCTGGCCCAGTAGCATAGTGGTTAAGCTTGTGTGCTCAACTTTGGTGGCCTGGGGTTCGCGGGTTCGGATCCCAGGCATGGACCTACACACCACTCATCAAGCCATGCTGTGGCGGTGTCCCACACATACAGTAGAGGAAGATGGGCATGGATGTTAGCCCAGGGCCAATCTTCCTCAGCAAAAAAAGGAAGATTGGCAACAGATGTTAGCTCAGGGCTAATCTTCCTCACACACACACAAAAAAGACAAACAACCCAATTAAAAAATGGTTAAAAGCCTTGAATAGCCATTTCTCCAAAGAAGATATACAAATGGCCAACAAGCACATGAAAAGAGGCTCAATACCATTAGTCAGTAGGGAAATGAAAATCAAAAGCAAAATGAGACACCATTTCACACCCACTAGGATGGCTATGAAAAAAAAGATAATAAGAAGTGTTGGTGAGGATGTGAAGAAATTGGAACCTCAGGCACCGGGAATGTAAAATGGTGCAGCTGCTGTGGAAAAGTTTGGCAGTTCCTCAATATGTCAGACAGAATTACAATATGACCCAGCAGTTCGACTCCAAGGTATACACCCAAAGAAATTGAAAACTAATGTTCAAACAAAAATTTGTACACAAATGTTCATACTAGCACTATTCACAATAGCCAAAAGATGGAACAACCCAAATGTCCATCAACTGATGAATGGATAAACAAAATATGGTATATCTATACAACTGAATATTATTCTCTTATAAAAAAGAATGAAGTACTGACACATGCTACATCATGAACTTAAATGCTAAATGAAAGAAGGTAGTCACAAAAGAGCACATATTATACGATTCCATTTAAATGAAATGTTCACAATAGGCAAATCTATAGACAGAAGTAAATTAGTGGTTGTGTAGGGCTGGGGGAACGGGATACGGAGGGTGATAACTAAGATACAGGGTTCCTTTGTAAGGTGAGAAAAATGTTCTGAAATGGACTGTGGTGGTGGTTGCATACATCTGTGAATATACTAAAAACCTGACTGTATACTTTGATAGATGAAGTGTATGGTATGTGAATCATATCTCAATAAAGCTGTTATAAAAAATTGATTAATCCAAAAGAAGGCAGAAAAAGAGGAAAACGGAATAAAGAACAAATGTAACTAATATAAAACTAATAGCAAGAAGATAGACTCAAACCTAACCATATTGGGCCGGCCCGGTGGCGCAGGTGGTTAAGTGCGCGTGCGCTCCACTGCGGCAGCCCGGGGTTCACCGGTTCAGATCCCAGGCGTGCACCAATGCACTGCTTGTTGAGCATGCTGTGGCGGCGTCCCACATAAAGTGGAGGAAGATGGGCACAGATGTTAGCCCAGGGTCTTCCTCAGCAAAAAAAGAGGAGGATTGGTGGATGTTAGGTCAGGGCTGATCTCCTCACAAAAAAAAAACTAACCATATCAATAATTACATTAAATGTAACTAGTGTAAACGTCCCAGTTAAAAGTCAGAGATCATCAGACTGGATAAAACAGTAAGATCCATATGCTGTCTACAAGAATTTACAAGGGAGAGGGTACCTGTTAAATATAAAGACACAAATGGGTTAAAAGCAAAAAAGATGGAAAAGATATACTATGCTAGCTGAAATCTACAAAGTGGATTTCAGAGCAAAGAATATTACCAGAGATTAAGAGGGTTCATAATGATGAAGGGATCAATTCTTCATAATCTTAAATGTTAACAGTTTCAAAATACATGAAGCAAAAACGGAGAGAACTACAAGGAAGAACAGCCAAATCTACAATTAGAGTCAGAGATTTCAATACCCCCCCTCAATAACTGATGGGACAAGCAGACCCACACAGTCCAAGTCTGCTGTATCCTTCCTGATACAAGAGTGCCCCCAACTCAACCTGATTCACATTTACAGAGAACTCCACCCAACACCAGCAGATACACAACCTTCTCGAGTGCACATGGAACCTGTGCCAAAATGGGCCATAGCCTGAGCCATAGAATAAATCTTACTAAATTTAAAGGATTCAAGCCAAACAAAGTATGTTCCCTTACTACAGAGGAATTAAATTAGAAATCAATAACAGAAGAACATCTGGAAAAATCCCTCAAATGTTTGGAAACTATTTAAATAACATACTTTTAAATAACCCATAGATCCAATAAGAAACCAAAAAGAAAATTAGAAAGTATTTTGACACTGAATGAAAATGGACACAACATATTAGAATTCTCAGGATGTTGATAAAGTGACAGAGGGAAATTTATATCACCAAATGCCTATATTAGAAAAGAAAAAAGGTCTCAAATCCATGACCTCAGTTTCCACCTTAAGAATTAGAAAAAGAACAAATTAAACCCAAAGTAAGCAGAAGAAAGAAAATAATAACAGTCAGAGTGGAAACAGAAAACAGACAAAACAGAAAAAAGAAAAACAATATAGAAAATCAATGAAACCAAAAGTTGGTTCTTTAAGAAGATTAAAAACAATTGAACAAAAACAAATCTAGGGGCCGGCCTAGTGGCGCAAGCGGTTAAGCGCCTGCGCTCCGCTGCAGCAGCCCAGGGTATGCCGGTTCGGATCCTGGGTGCACACTGATGCACCTCTTGTCGAGCCACGCTGTGGCAGCGTCCCACATAAAGTAGAGGAAGATGGGCATGGATATTAGCCCAGGGCCAGTCTTCCTCGGCAAAAAAGAGGAGGATTGGCAGATGTTAGCTTAGGGCCGATCTTCCTCACAAAAAAAACAAAAAACAAAAAAACAAATCTAACTCATGAGAAAAGAATTTTAAGAGGCAGAGGTGACCATTAACGATCAATCACACCAGAAATAAAAACACTCAACAGCTTTTTGTCAGGCTGAATAAGCAAAGCATGAGTAGCGGTCTTATACAAATCCTTACCAAAGAATAAGAAATTCACGTTTACTGGGTTCCTAACTGGTGGTAGACTTAAGTATCACACAGGACACTTTTCTCCAGGATTTGAACAACATGCACTACTTCAGTACACAAGTTGATAAGAAACGACTCATTACACTTGAATAATAAACTGAACATGGTTACTGACCTCCTCTGGGGGAAGGAGAATCATGCCCTCCAATGACCACAAGGATACCGGAATCTTCTAGCTTCATTTTCCACTCTTCAATGATAGTCATAGACTTGTCCTGAAAGCACGAGGACAGTGGCAGGTCAGGAAACTTTCCTCAGAACAGTCAGAGGTGACTTACACCAGGGCTACACCATCAACAGGAAGTTCATAAATACCTTACTGGCATCATTAAAGACTGAGAGCTCCATGGAGCCTTCAAAGTCCTGTTGCAGAACAGACCTCAAGCACTCGTCCAACCATGCTTCAGCATTGTGGACCGGGAGGATAACAGACTGGAATTCAGAAGAGACAGATTAACAAACAGAAGTGGGAAAACTAAATCCCCTTTCCACTGTTCTAACTTAATTCCCCATTACCATCCGCACAATGCTCATTTCCAAAGGGCAAGGCCTGATTTACAGAATCACCCAGAACAGGGCTTCCAGGGAAAGAATATGCCCTGACAAACAAAAGGCATCTATGCCTTCTCTCCAAACTCTTCACATTCTTCTGTTCCATAAGATTTATCACGTCTTGGATTTCTTCCCTGAATTAGTCTGTTGGCTGCTTTTGAAAAGGAAACAAAAATCCGAAAGGCATCAAAAATTTTCCCAACTCAATGACAAATTCATGTATTTTCCCATCACTGGTCATCATTTTGGTTGAAACAAACATCTGTGTATCTTCCAACCCGCTCGTGAAAATCAGTGATTGGTCCTTTTCTTGGCCGGAAAAGCATTTTCAGCATCATGGTTTACATGATGTTAGAGAAACTGCAACAAAGAAACACTTTTAAGTCTCCTCCACACAACTGTTAACAAAGTATGAGGGCAGGTGCTGAGAAAATGGGAGGCAACCTCCCTCCATCCCTCTCCTCCCTAGCTCTACTTAGGGAAGGACAGCGAGCTCTGTCCTTTCTCACCAAGCCGAGATAAAACAAAATTTTCTAAAGTGTATGGAGTAAAACCAGTGAAACCCGACTGCTGACAAAACAGATAACAGGAATTGCCCTAATTTTGTACATTACCCCATTAAGCAACACAGAATATCCAAAGATAGATATGACTGTCTGTCCTGACCCCTGACTCGGTACCTAATGAAGAGGAGTGGACAAATTCCTAAACAAGAAAACAGAAACGCAGACATCCAGGTGTGTGTACACATGCATGCGCGCGTGCACACGCAAACATATGTACATGTATGTGTGTATTAAACATATAGAATACAGATAGGACTCTAAAAATACTAAATCTAAATATGGTTATGAAAAGCTCACACTTACAAATATTGAAAATATCATTCAGTCAAGTTCTTTACTCTGAGGATCTGATTCAAGTGACAACCCTTCCTGAATTTACACTATCCACAAAAGTAACTCCTTCCATTACTTACATATTTACTTTGCAACTACTTTTTAAAAGGAAAGCATTTTTTACTGTTCTCAAAATCTACAATACAAAACATATGTGAACTTCTGTCAAAAGTGGGCCTTGATTAATCTCTGTCCACATTCTTCTGCTGCCACAAAACCTTGCTTTGGCTGGAGACGCTTATAGGCAAGCCCATGAGAAGTGGTGTGGGACTTGGAGACGTGGAGGAGGGGGAGGAGAGAAGAGACAGGGTAGGGGAGGGAGAGGGGGAAGGAGAGGAGGAGGATGGAGGAGGGAGGAGGCCAGAGGGGATAGGGATGGAGGAGGGAGAGAGGATGGAGGAAACAGGAGGATACAGGGCAGGGGGATGGAGGGAAGGGGACAGAGGGAGGGGGATGGAGCAGGGATGGGGTGATGAGAGGAAGGGGAAGTCAGGGAGGGGAGGGAGCGGGGAGAGCGGTAAGGGAGGGGAGGGCAGAGGCGGCCCGCGGCCCGGGCACCTACCACGTGGGCGGCGGCTGGGTTCCCCTGAGCCTGCATAGCCGCTTGGTCCCCGACCGCCCTCCCCAGGCCACGTCGGCCAACAGCGCATGCGCGGGCAGCTCTCCGGGAGGCGGGGCCGAGGCCGGGCCGCCTCCCATTGGCGCAGAGAAATGTCGATCCGGCGGATGGGCGGGGCGGACGGCCCGCGGGGAGTGGCGCGGCCTAGAGGAGCCGAAGCACTGGTAGCTCTGCGCCCGCGGGCGGCGCCTTGCCTCCTGCCGCCCAGCGGCTCTTGGGTCCCGCGTTCTCTCTTTGCTCCTTGACTCCGGAAGTCTTCTTGCCTCACTCAAGGGCGTTAATCAGCTTCGAAGTCCTCTATGAGGTGCGATGTTGTAAAAATACCTGGTTGTGGGCAAGGTGGGTTTGTGAGGATGGCGCCATGCTGTGCCAAACCAGGTGACTCTTGAGGTTGTGCTGCCTCTTTAGAAAGAAAGGTTGTGGGCCGGGCTGGTAGCCTAATGGTTAAGTTCACGCACTCTGCTTTGGGAGCCAGGGTTCGCAGGTTTGGGTCCCATGCGCAGACCTACATCACTCGTCAGCGTGCTGAGGCAGTGACACACACAAAATAGAGGAAGACTGGCACAGATGTCAGCTCAGGGCGAATCTTCCTTACCAAAAGTAGAAAGGTTGTGTGTAGTTAAAGAAAGCAGGTGACATTTCATCTGAACTATGTTTGACTTGAGTGGAGGAGGAGAAGCCTGGGGGCGGGAGACTAGGACACATGTTCCCAGCGTCCCCAAGGTCCGCAGAGTCCCCAACGAGGAAGGGTGCGGAGGTGGGAGCGTGGGTCCACCCACCAGCATCTGGTTTCATTTCTGCCTCCCCAAGCAGAAGGAAGGCGGCCCAGGCTTTGGGGCCGCAGTGCTTACTCGTTAAAACACCATCCCTCCAAGGCACCTGCGGTTTTTCAAGGTTTTTCAAGACCCCTGACACCCCTAACCCATCTCTTACCTTGCACCAGGTGGTGCTGCCTGCGTCCTGGCAGCTGTGTGACCCCTGGAAAGTTCTGCCCCTCTTGGTGGACCAGGGCTCCAGGGTGGCACCCAGAGACTGCACGTAAGCTAATGAGACTAGTGCCAGCACGTGCATGTGCGCAACCAATGTGATCTGCTGTGATTAGCGCTGTGGTGCCCGCACACGTAGAGTAGCCCACTCAGGGCTTTTCCTAACTGATCTAAACGGATGAGCATGTTTATAGCCATCACTGGCAGGACAAAGGCTTTACTGCCCAAAACTAAGAGGAAATGCAAATTAGTCTACAAACCAACAATTACAACAAAGCCAAACTTCTGTTTAAGATCTTTTAAGCATCATTTCAAATGTAATTTTTCCTTAAACTGCATCAATATTTGTGAAGCCTGTGGTACAAGTTCAAACTCTTAGGTCAGGTGAGTAAAAACGCAGCCTTATTTACAGTGGGACAAAAGCCTTCTGAGAACTTGTTTCCAAGGACCTGATGTTCTCCAGAGTTTGGTGTATGAGTTTGACTTTAAAGGACTCAGTAAAAAGTTGCCCTGTAGCTACCAGAACATGCTGTCGACTTTGCGGCTGGAACCGCCTGGTAACCGGTGGGGGGAGAGATGAGGGTCACAGGTGGTGTCTGGCTCCTCCACAGCACGTGGTATCAGAATCGGGCTCGGCTGCTCCTGTCTTGCTTCCTGTACATTCCTCCTGCCAGAAATTTGCTCTTTGTTGCCTTCCCCCTAATAAAAATTTGGTTAGAATCTGCATTTTGCAAACAATCAGAGTGCCCAGAGTCACTTCAGAAATGCAGGGTTGTGGCTGGGCAGGGGCCTGAGATTATTCCCTTCGTGGTAGGAGGATTCTCAACAGAGACCAGGCCATGGGGACTGACGCCTCCCAGTGAGGGACCCAAGGGGAACGTGTGGTAGAATGAAAAGATGAATGGTCACAGGGCACCTGACGGGGAAGTGATGTAAAACTCTGGCAGCTCTTGGCCGCCCAGTGACACTTTACTATTCATCGTTGTTTATGTAGACTGTTTGGTGAATCCTGGTTGTATTCAGAAGGCTCAGTGCCCACTGCCAGGGCCTCTGAGTTTAAAAACTGCCCAACAGCCCTCTTACCATGCTGGTGTAGGAGGCAAAGATGTGGCAGAGGCCTGGGCTCGGGGACAGTGGGCCCAGACTCAGAAAGAGTGCATCAGTGGAGGGTGAGGTCAAGCTTCACCGACGACAGCTGGACGTTCCCTGACAGCCGCGTGGCAAGACCTCTGAGCGAGCGGCCTTTCCATGTGTTCTGATGGGACAAGTCCTGACAGAGCCCCACTGGACCTCCCCCGGGGTAGTGGATGCTGCTGGGGGTTCGGGAGCCGCCCAGCACCGCAGAGGACAGCACTCTCGGACTGGAGAAGGCTGGCTGCCCATGGTGGCCAGAACACCCAATAGTAAATCCGTTCTTGAGGAAGCAGCGAGCTGTCTGACAGTATGTGACGTGAGCTGGCGTCATCTCTTCTACTCTCTCATTTTCTTAAAGGCTAGTTGAGACTCACTGTTTTGAGTTAAGAAGCCAGAGCTGGACTTCCTACCAGCCTCAGGAGGTAATGAGATTCCCATCACAGGAAGCATTCAATTAACAGCTGGGCAAATGTTTGGTGTGAATTTGATGGGAGCACTTGAGTATCACATAGGATGTTTGTCTTGGCCTAGATACCCACCCTCTTCGCCCAGGAAGCAGAGCCCGAGTCAGGGCCTTTACTGGGAGAGTCTTTGTTCCCAGGAAGCTGGGGGCAGGGGAGTGAGGCAGGGAAGGAGAGGGGGCCAGGGCAGCATGCTCTGTTGAGGGGGGTCCCCACCATGGGCAACTGGAGCTGGACCCCCAGACCCTCCCAGAGCCCTGGAGAGTTGTCCACCTGAGTGTGAAAGACAGAAGCCTTACCCTTGGGCCTGTCATCTGGGGTCGCCCACTGGGGCATTTCTGCACTTCTGGGTGGCGACTGCAGGATCCCACAGGTGTCCCCGAGCCCTGGGGTGCACAGCACACTGCAGGCCAGGGGGTGCTTGCCCAGAACTGTGTGCAGTGGCCCCAGCTGGACCAAGAGGATGGGAAGGGCTGAGCAGGAGGCAAGAGGAGGCCGATGTGAGGTCAGAGAGGCGGAGGGAACTTTAAACAGAACTCAGGCATCACCTCCAGCTGCCATGGTGTGCAGTGAGCATGTGTGCATGGTCCTGAAGTGATTTACGCCAAATGCCCTTCAAACCCTGGGTGACGAAGGTGGATGGGTGCCTGCAGGAGCTGAGGGGACAGCATGGGAGGCTGGGGCCAGAGCACCTAAGGCTGTGACTTGGACAGTGTCGGGTGAGAGGCAGGGGCAGCGAGCTGACGTCCTCCTCCTAAATATTAATAGGGAAGTGT